CCCCAAAACCCCAAAACCCCAAAACCCCAAAACCCCAAAACCCCTGGGGGTTAAGGGAGGATTGATTATGCTGGTAGTTTTAGAATCTTTTAAATGAAGATAGTTTTGGCGTTTGTAGTCGTGTTAATAGGGGTAGTTTATGCTGAAGGTGAGTGTCCGATCTTCTCTTGTGATACTATTGATCAAGAAGAGAGCAAGAATGTGTGCTCAAAAAGAATTGATGCTGCTGATGGGAATCCAATTTCTTTTCAAGCTCAGAGATGTCCAGAAAATTCTTACTGTCAAGCTAAAGAGTGGCTAAAACCAGAAGATGCAACAGGAGAGGTCGGAGCTCTATATTGAGGAAACACTTCGACATCTACGTTCCCAGAGACTTGGGTTCCTGTAAATAATGCAGCTCTTGATGGAGATATCTGAGAGAAAAGCGCCCATTGATTAAAAAACTATTTCAATCAAGCTACTTGTGTTGATGGTATTTGTCAAGCATCTACAAAAGAAGGATCTAAGTGAGATGGGAATGACAATAACTGCCCAAGGAGACATTTTTGTAATTCTGATAACATCTGAGCAAAACAAGTAGGAAATCTCCAAGTATGCACAAAAAATGAGGAGTGTTTTAGAGGCTACGACTGTATTAAGCCTTATGGAGGAGAAGACTTTATATGCGTTGATTTGCATGTCTTAAAAAACGGAGATAAATTTTATGTGCCAAATATGGAATCCAGAAAGCCAAGACAGCTCTTTGGAGGAATATTGGTGAATGAACTTGAAGGAGATATAACTCTAGAAGGATCACATGTTTGTGAAACTAATGCTCAAGCTAATGTTGATGGTGTAATGCAATGCAGATCTTTGCAGAGAAATATTGACCAATCATACACTGTAGATAATATATTCACAAAGTGCAAAACTGAGACCTTCCTTACTGGCGGTCTTGATAATTACAATAAAGGAACTTTGGTTGAAACAACTCCTTTATGTGGATTTAACAAGGATAACAAAGCTTATTGTCCAATTTTTGTAGGCGATGACATTGCTCTAGATTTAATATGGAAGTCGATTCAACGTGCAGAACATTTAAACTGTCACAGACACTCCCATATTGGCCATTTTGTTCAAGGTAGAGTCTGCAAAGAGTTTTACGATATAAGTCATACCATGGAAGCTTTCTATGGATTCAGAGCAGGACAGGTACTGACTCCTCAAACTTGGGCTAACACTGCTAATAACGACGAATGCGTGCGTAAGACAATCACCTTTAGACATTGGAATGGATTTGATTCAGCATATAATCATGCTCTCTTTGTTATAACCATGAGTTCTCTTGTGCTCATAACTATATAACCTAGCGAGATTCGAACGTTCCAATGTGTCTCGAATTTAATAACGCAACGATTTTGAAGATATTAGATTTATTTTATATATTTGAGATATCCCAATTTGATCATCATACGGTGGGGTTTTGGGGTTTTGGGGTTTTGGGGTTTTGGGGTTTTGGGG